ACGAATAATTTGGTCGCCAATATCCTTCTTGTTGAATAATCACTTCGATATAAATGAGTTTCATATTTTTGTTTTGATATCATTCCCTATCATATCTTGAGATCTTGAGAGTTTTATTTACATAATAGAGAGAATAATTCAATTTGAAAAATAAGTCTCTAATAGTGAATTTTATTATTTCAAAAAATAATTTTATCCAAGGAATGAGTAGAATGAATTCTTTAATTTACTTTAGATTGACAGCTTTGGATGAACATGATCGTCAATTATTAGCTTTAGCAACAGCCAAGAATAATCTTGAATCATTTATTTATGATATGCGTGACAAACTTGAACAAGATTCTAATTATAAAAAAGCAGCAACATCCGAAGAACAAACAAATATTAAAGAAAAATTGACTGAAATCGATACATGGCTATGGGATGATGGTATTAATGCTGATGTTAAAGTAAATAATAAATAAATTTCGTTCTATTTCTATTTTTTTTTCTTATTCTTTTTAAATAGACATTAAGATCTAAATTAGATGAATTAAAAACGTTAACCAAATCTTTAATATTACGTGTACGTGAACGTGATTTACGTTCACAAAAAATTCAAGAACTTAAAGATACACTTAATTCTACTGAACAATTTGTTCGCACAACACGTATTTTATTTTTAAAAAAAGATGATGATGAAAAGCCATTTACTGATGGAGATATTGATGCATTAGAAAAAACTGTTAACGATATATATGTAAGAAATTTTTCATTTTATATATTGAGTAACGTAAAATCTTTTTTTTTCATTTTTCTAGAAATGGAATGATCAGGTTTTAGATTCATTTTCAAAATTATTACCAACTGATATGCCAAAATATTTATCAAATGATTTCGATGATAAAATTAATTTACTTAAACGTGAAACAAATTATTTACTTGGTAAAATTCAACGATTTGTTCCAAAACCAAAAACAACAACGACAACATCACCACCAACAAAAAAAGTTCCAAAGGATAATGAAACAAATATTGAAAAAGAACAAGAACCAGAACAAGAAACATCTTCGACTACTACTGCGACTCCTCAAGAAGAAGAAGAAACAACAACAACAACAACAACAACGACAACAACAAAATCAAGTGAAGGTAATTGTTTTTAAATGAAATTATTTATCATTATTTTAAATTTATTTAGAAAAACGTCCAGAATTATAAAATCTTGATCTTAATATTACAATCATTATTCATCATTCCAAAATGCGATAACTGATAGTACTAGTCAAATGTTCTTTATTGTTGCTGTTGTCGATCTGTTATTCATTAAACTAATTTATTTGCTTACATTTTGTTTTCTTTTTCTCTTTAATTGTTATGACTTATTTTAAGATCAATCTAGAACATGTGTGTGTGTTCTGCTTTTTTTTTTCTTACAAGTATGTTTCTCTGTTTTGTTTTGCTTCGTTTGCCTAATTATGAAAGTGTGAAACAAAATATATGATTTATTTGATTGCAAATAAAATAAACAACATCGAATATTTCAGTATCACATATAGACGATTAAGAAACAACTTAAGAGAGAATCCGCTAGAAGAACGATTAAGGAAACAACAGCAACAGTTCAACGCTCGATTCCTAGTCAGTTATCGTTACGATGTCAGGTAACGGATAACGGAAATTTGCAAGATCAGTTTTCCAGTCAGGAATGGCCTGTTTACGAATAACAAAATGCTTGCGAATCGTATTTTTGATGGATACTTTTATGAGTAGTCAACTGGAAAAAACACATGACTTCAGAGGATGGGTGTGGGTGTGGAACTTTGTAGAGATCATTTTGATAAATAAGATTTATATTGACTCAACAAATCTAGCTCGTAAAACACTCAAAACCTTCGACTATTCCTGACTACTACTAAATGGTAGTTGACGTTTTCGAGTAAATTTGAATATTTCTTTACCAAAATGATAAGCACAACGAGTTCTATAAAGTTCTACAGACGAAAAACTTCTGAAAACCTTGTGTATTTGGTGATTGACTATCTATAAAAGTATTCATCAAAAATATGATTGGCAAGCATTTTGTCGTTGGTAGTGCATTGTGAAGAAAAGTTCTCTTATACACTTTGATAAAGGACTTTTTTCAGGTCGATCGATTCAATTATATGAGGATGTGCGTGTTGATCTCTGTTAACATGTCAGCGACGAGAGGACACAGATGTATACCCACACCTCTCATTCTCCTGATGATACCAAATGATATTTTTCTTAGATCGAAATGAAACTATAAATGATTTTTGAAGAAAATCTAGAAATGTAGTTCATTACAGTTTGGTAACATTTATTTCGTTATTTATTTTTAACCTCTCAACAAACTAGTTTTATGAATAGGCATGGTTATGAAAAGTAATTTTTTTTTGCACAAATGATGCAATCAGTCAAAAGAAAACGTATGTCATGCTAAAAGTCAATGCTTTATACGATATTATAAACAAAATATTTCACACATGCATTTAGGTACATTTGCATGAACTTTCTATAGAACCACGTAAGTCATTGAAATATTCCTTCAATTAACTACTCTGCAAGCACTACGCTGCACGACACATTCTTTTGATTGAAAAGAAAAGGTTAGTTATCCCTTATTTACATTATATCAGCAAATTTTACTATGAGTTATAGATATACTGTCCAAACACATGCAGAAACATGTCGTATGCTTATTTGAATCATTTCTCTTCTATACCTAAAAAACACTGTGTATGAATGTTAGATATTTGAATATCGAATCACTTTTTTTTAGAAAGTAATCTCAGGTGTTGTATTTCACACAGGCTGACATTTGTAGTGTTCATTATAACAGAGAACATATATTTACTATTATAACAGCCTCAACAGGTGACAGTTCGCAACGTCATCCGATGAACAGCGATATATGACATTTCTATCAAGATAGTATATGAATGATACTTTACAATTGAAGTATTTTTTTTATTATTGCCTACTATGGTTCTTATTTGTTTTCGAAATTTATATTTGTGTTCAAGCTCGAATTAGATACCTAGTCTGAAAACCAATAGAATTGGGTTGGAAAGAACTTGACAGAGAGTCCATTCAAGAAATTCTCGAATGCAGACCTAAAGTATTCCATGTAAATCGAGCACTTTATCTTTTATAGGAAACTAAAAATTAATTATTTTTTCAGCTAAGATATTTCTAAAAGAAAAAGAATTTCAGACAACTTTTTTTCCAATTCTTTTATTAACCATCAGACAAAACACAACATTTTTCAGTATTCTACGTCTTTAATAACTTGGAAAACAATTCACTCGATAGATTCACATATATTTGCCGTATTTTCACATAAGGTATTTATTGAGAATGTTGAAATACAAAAACCGATGAATAAATATAAAACAATTAACAAGCTTAAAAGACAAAAAGCATGATATTTATTGCGACAAAACAGTAGGAGAAAAGGCTGAATGAAAAAATAAAGAACTAGGAGACTAACTACTGATAAAACCTTCACCATTGATTAATAATCTTAGGTGGATTTCCTATTCGGGACTAAAACATCGTCCAGTAAATATTTAAAGTTATATGAAGGTATTCTAAGCTCAATTGGAGTTTGTGTCAGATAAGACTTTCAAATACTGAAAAGTCTTTTCAAAAGTATAAACGAAACAAACCCATTTTAAGATTAGATTAAATTCATATTATATCAAAAATTTATGAAGATAACAAGTTTGGCACGAGTATATGCAGAAATCAAACGAAGTTATATTATGTTCAATGTCACATGATCACCATCTCGTACTATTTTTAACAATATCGGGTCTATTTAAAATTTGTTCACATTCGTTGCTAACTTAATGGTCAGTCTTTATCATGTCATCACATCATTGATCATAAATTGCATAAATAATCCTAGCAACATTTGTTTTCAAATTTAATACTTAGTTTGAGGTAAGTTATCACAAGCATTATGCAGTTAAAAATCAACAAGAAGCTGAATGTTTTTAACAAGTATTCTGTTCAATTTATAGTCAACACTTTGAATGAAAATTATACTTTGTGATCTAGTTACCAATTACATGATAAACGAACACCAATAACAATCTGTACTCTCATGTATCTCATTAACAATTAAGCGAAATTTCTGTTGTTATTATCAGAAAAAAAATCGTTGCAAAAATGAATAATCATAAGTATGATTCTATTGTATTATATCAATCATTTGCAAGTAATGATTGTGTGTTACTCCAATAGAACAGCTCATACATTAGACGAACATTTTTGAGAAAATATCTATTCAAAAAACTTTTTCGAAACAAGGTCTAGCGCATCCGTTACTTATGGAACAATGAATACGTCACAAATGACTATTTTTAAGCAAGACTTTCTTCAACTATGTAACTTATCGATAATGCAATGTGAAAGTCCATCAAATAATGCTAGATCACAAAGTTGATGAAACGATTTAAGTATAGCTTTGTTCAAATATACCGAACACTTTGAAGAAAAATACGTCTCTAGATCATGTCATCGAGTATCAGTTTAAAAACGAATCTTCCAACGCATAGCTTTCGGTTCATATATTTGGTTTTTATTGTATGAAAATATGAAGACAGTCCCATAATGAAGGTCTACTCAAAAAATACATAACAATAACAATCAATCAATTCGTTTTCGCGCATATCTAGGGCAGACATTAACTACAAGTATAGTTGTAGAGAATCACAGTACAATTGAATCATTCGAACTAGAGTTGTATTCAATTATTTTACTCTCTGGTAATCCATCACGGTAGAACACAAGGTTGAATAGTATACGATATATGAATTATCCTAACGAAGGTCATATTGAATTATTTCATTCTTAGACGATCACTAACATCAAAACACATGATTGAACAGCACATGCCACATGAACTATTCAAAGTAATCTCGTGTTCATTTACCTTATTCCAATCAGATCGCTAATATCAGAATATATGATAGAGCAGCGCATGGTTGATGCATTACCATAAGCAAGTTTGGGTTCATCTATATTATTGTCAAGCAGTCATTGACAGTGGAACTGATCATTGAATATGGTATAATGGATGAATTATTTGAAACAAGGTTCTGTTCCGATAAATTCTGTAATGATGCCAAGAGTTAGCTTGGTTTATATGAATAATGATGCTTGAGAAAATGAATTAGTGAGACATTGATCAGATTCAAGTAGTTCGTTCAACTGTTTTGATAATTAATGTCTGACAGCATACTAAAAAGAACATGGAAATGAAATAGTTACAGTTGTACGGGTTGGAGTGTACTGATCAAATACATTATTCAGTTTGAGATAAAGTATCATACTAGATCGTAGATTGACGATGAAATCGATAGTGATTCATTCTAATTATGAATCCATTCAATAATTCTTCTCTCTCCATGGATACACACAAATTACAAAGATGCTATTTAAATATTCAAAATAACTTGAAATGGTTGTTCGATAACACTCAATGGACAAAAGTAAACGTTGTACATGACAATGTACTAAGTGGAGGTGTTGCAATTGTTGTAGTAGCAGCTAAATGAATATAATGAATTGTAATTGAATTAAAAAGTTCCTATATTGCATAATATCCTCGTAGTGCGTTGACAGATCGATTTTAGTCCACTTTTAAACTTTTATATAGAGAACCCTAACGGTTTGTAAGATGCATTATAGACTAGGTTTAGTATTTGAAATATACAATTTGAATATATTGGCCTATTATCTCAAATAAACAGCGATATGCCTCAATGTATGAGGCTCAGTTATAAATATGGAAGATAGCCAGAACTGTATTTTTCTCAGCTAACAATTACTTAGACATAAACTTCCAATTAAGCAAAATAAAATAATATTATTTGTTTTAGTGTTTGATTGTTTTACTTTCTTGCCTTTGTCTGTCACTCTTGACAGAATATGCTACAGTTGAAACATTTTCCTTCTAGTACGAGCATCTCATTAAAAAGTTCCACGAGGTATGTGGTTGTTAAAGTTCATAGAAGAGACAATAGATCTTACATTCTCTTACTTCATGATTCGTAAGAACAGTGAGCTTCCGATAGAATGTGAATATATGATTTTCAAATTGACATAAACGAAAACAAGATTATTAAAAGCATCTTTTTAGAACAGTACAATAGTCTCAAAATATGTATGAAACTATTCAAAGCATTTCA